CCATTTAAAATCTGCACACACTGATACATTAGATATTTTTTAAGTATTCTTAAGACTGTGGAACCAGAAGATAGTTACTTAAAATAGGATCCTTAAACATAAAATCAGATATGGTTCTCTGTATAAGTAGCTCATGGTAAATATTTGTTTTCTGTTTTTGTTTGTCTCTCCATATTTGTTATTTGGCGAGCATATTTAGTAATATGAAAGGCATCTAAGTGACTATAAAATAGTAATTTTACAAGATGAAATATTTAAAATAAGTATAATAAATATTTCCATTTAAATGAATGATTATATGCAAGCCTTTCATTCCTTGTATGTTTATACATTAAAATATTAAAGTTCTTGGAAGTTCTTGGCAAGCTCTGAGAGAAAATTATTTAATATTTTCAGAATGTTTATCATGCATCCCAAGCATTATATAGAATTCTACCAAGTCCTCCCTTTTAGTCATCACAGGGATTCATGAGGAAGTATTACAGTCTCTTTAGAAGAGAAGTAATAGAGGCACAAAGAAACTAAATAACTTATTCAATTTCCACAGCTGTCCGTGAAAGATAAATTATGTGCTCAGGCCAGTTCAACACTTGATGTTATCCAAATGGCCAAGAAACAATGGCTTTATCTAAAGACTATTCTCTTTGCTTCTATTTTGGGTGCATAGAATAAATGTGATTTTTAATTGTAAGCAAAAAGAAAACTTTTAAACTGAAGTGTAGATATTAGTGTAAAATATGATGACATTGTTATGCAAATATGTTTAATTTGTGAGTGAGCTCTATAGATTCAAAATAGACTAATTCAAAGTTAGCATTGACCAAACCATTCAACCATTTAACTTTTATTCTTGTGTTAGGTAGAGTTTTTTTCCAACATTATTCTCCATATTGAATAAAAACTTAGGCCTCAGACCCTTAAAGAATTTTCTGCTACTAAAAATTAATGCATATATTTCCACAGACAAAAGATGTTTTCTCTGTAGCAGTAAACAGTGACTATAAAACCATTTTCTTTATCACCTGGTACCTCCATCTCAGTTAATGTGGATTAGTTTCTAAAACTTTTGGAGTTTTAGATTTTAGAAAGGGCTATGTACAAGGAACAATTTAATAAGACCCACTTTAAATATTTTTCCATACTATTCTAAAAAATATTTTTGATCTTTCCAAATGATGAATTTGAAAACATTCAAATGGTTGACATCTCTTTACAATGATATTTATTGGTTGTTGGTCCACTTTTTCCTCATGCTGGGAAGTCAATACTAAGTCCCCTTGAACTCAATGTAAATTTTGCAGTTCCTGTAAAATGGGGCCTTGTTCAGAAGCCTGTTTTTAAACTATTAAACTCTGGGTTTCATAATTTCCTTTCTACACTGAACTTTTCGCATAATTCCAAATAAAGGAAAAAGTAGGAATTTAATTTCCGGACAAATTTCTTTCCAGAGCCTCTGTCCAAAATAACAAGTGCTGAAATTCAAAAACAACAACAAAAAAGTTCAGTGTAGCATATGCTAATTTACACCTTTTCCTCTTTTTGTGTTCTGTTCTTCTTTTGTTTTAATGGATAAATGACAAAACAGTTAAATGACCCACATTCAGAGTGTGATACAATTTTTCCCTGTTCCAAATATAAATCATTCAATAATGTTATTTTATTCATTGTGCTTTGTGTATTTATCAAATAAAACAATTTTATATTATGAAAAAAACATTCAATAACCAATATTCTGGTGAAGTAACAAGTGACAATCCCATTTCTGATGCTACACATGCTGATAAAAATGATAAAGGAGAAATAATGTTAAATTCCTAGCCAGCTGATGAACTGAAGCCAAGTTTTTCTCTATGCTTAAATCTTGACTTTATAAATAGTAATAAGAGGTAAATGTTAGAAGAATATGTTTAGTTAGTTTTAAGGGATTAGCAAGAATTAGATACAGAAAAACATCCATAAGATGAGAAAACAATATACAGCAAGGTGAAAAAGATTCTCAATAGATTGGGAATATCCATATTCCAAGAATCAGCAGGATCTGTCAAAATATATATTCACTTTAAAAGGACAGAAAGAATGTGAAGGAAAAAAAAGAGAAATGTTGGTGGAGAGAGAACCAATATAAAATGGAAGGAATACTATGGGCCCCTTAAAATGCAAGAGGGTTAAAACCATGTTTATGAAGCTAGCCAAGTAAATAAATAGTCAAGTAAATGAATGGTTTAAAAATAAAAGAAATATCTTAAAATGTATCTACCAACATGTTCTCTGCCTCTTTCCTTCCATCTTGGTAGAGTAGCTAGTTTACAAATAGAACTATGTATATGGAGTTTTGAATGCTGTGCTTCATATGGTCATTCTTATCAATAGGCACATGTATTCAGCATTCAATCTTTGGATAAGCATATTGATTTTCAAATTAAAAATAATCATGCACTCCTACACATATTATGAATTCATTTATTTTCATCTCTGTGATTATAACGTATTACTCTTACTTTAGTAGATTTGGAACAAATCCAAGCATAAGCCTGTGTTCAACCTGCCATGCTTTATTAGACCCTGAAAGAATAATTTTCTGTTCACAATTATTTATTCATATATTTTATGTATGTGTTTGTGTAGGTATGGGCATATGTGCTTGTGGTGCATAGGCATGTGTGTGTAGTATTTGTATAGAAGAAGAACATTTCTGTACAGCTCCCTGTCTTACTGCCTTGATTAAAATCTCATACCGAACCTAATTGTCATCCATATTTTGAGGCAACGTCTTATATAGAGCCTGTCACTCATCAGTTTGCCTAAATTGGCTGACCAGAATCCCCCCTCCACCTCCTAGATCATCCTGTATCCACCCATTGACCAGCCCCTATCCCTGAAATTATAAGCACATGCCACTACCCCTATCAATTTAAAAGGGTGCCGAAAGTTTAAACTTGAACCCCATACTTGCATGGCAAGCTCCAAATTTTTCACTTGTAAGTCACCTGGTCTTCTTATCTCTTACCTTAGCTCTTTTTTTTGTTTTTTGAGACAAGGTTTCTCTGTATTGTTTTGGAGGCTGTCCTGGAACTCGCTCGGTAGACCAGGCTGGCCTCGAACTCACAGAGATCCGCCTGCCTCTGCCTCCCGAGTGCTGGGATTAAAGGTGTGCGCCACCAACGCACGGCTCTTACCTTAGCTCTTAGTGCAGCAAATGTTTTAATGCAATAGCAAAATGATGGAGAAACATTACAAGATTTAAAGACGTTGTCCGACATTGTTTTGTCTTTGTCAAGGCCTATGACTATCATTGCTTATGTAAGTCTTGCACAAGAGTCAACACATTAGAAAAAAAGTTATGTCATTGATATTTTACCTTCGCAAGGCAAACATTATACAAATTACTCTTAAGCATCATGGATTTAAAAGCCCCTGCTCCCAATTTCACCTCTTGGTTTGCTTTTTAAATTTGGTACCAATGTGTTGGAGGATTTGCTTGTGTGTGGTACATGTTTATGACTGTACAGGTCTGCACCATTCTCCACTGCGTCCTTCCTTGACACAAGATCCTAGCCTGAACCCACTCACAATTTGAGCTTTGTTTTCTAGTAGAGAGAACTTTATTGATATGCCACTTTTTTAACCTCACAATGCTGGGGTTACAAGCACACACAACTTTGTTATGCTTATTTTGCGCATTCTTGGGATCAGAACTCAGGACCTTATGCCTTCATGTCTGTAGAGCAAATGTTCCTACCACAGAGCCCTTTTACATCCCCATTTGGTAGAATATTTTCATACTAGGACTTTTGCAACCACCTTTATTCTTACATGCTTTTCATCTTTATTTTCTGTTATATTAGAACTGTGATTCAGGTGAAATGGGGTTAGTTGTAAATGCATGGTAGTAGTAGTTAGTTAGCCACTAAGAGGTGTGGACCAGGCATGAATGGCAATCCAGTATAACTCTCTGTATCAACACTGGTGCAGTCAAGGTGATTCTTCATCTTGTCTGACTGTAGATTTCAAGCCTTTAGGAAAGGGATAAAATGAACATTTCTTGCATTATGTTAGACGGCCCTCATAGAACTTCCTCGAACACTCAACTATTCAAATTACATTCTAATTGGTTTGAAAATAAATTTAAACATCAGATTAAAAACAAATTTTCTGTGTTTATTATCCTTGCTTTTGCTTGGCCCAGCTGTAGAGTGACAATACTAGCCTGGTGAAAAACTTGGCTGAAATGCAAATATTCTTTTAATCTTCTCTCTAAGAAGGAAATCGTGTTTATTTTCTTCATTCATGATTCAGACTAAAAAAAAAAAGAGGAAAACCTCCCAAAAACCATTATAGAAGCTGTTGCTTTTGGAGCAACTCTAATGAAGTTTGAACTAAATTACCTTTAGCTGCTCTCAAAAGGTTTTGCGAAAGTTATCAGCACTGGCATTTTTAGAGGTGAAAAACGAAGAGAGACTGCTTACTCCCCCTGTTCTATTGTGAGAGTGCTGCAAAGAAGAGGTGCTTAGATGCAACAAGACAGGGGTGGAGGGGAGAACAGGAGAACAAGCAAGGCAGAGAATGGGTGAGGACACTTTCACAGTGCCGTGGAGTGTAGGAAAGAAACAGCAAGGGGTTAAAAGTGAATGTGTGGCTTGGCGTATAGAGTCAGATGAGAGTCTGTAGTGATAATCTGACATTGAAGTTGACCCTTAGTGAAGAGAAGGTACCAGCCAGGTGTAACATTAGCAGAATCTAATTCTGTGAAAGGAAAGATCGTTGTCAAGGTTATTTGCCTAAAATAAGCTTAAAGATTCTAAAAAAAAAAAGATTCTAAGACTCTAAGGACTTAAACAGCGGTTCTTAGCCATCCTACTGCCATGACACTTCAATACAGTTTCTCATGGTTGGTGACTGCCAATCATAAAATTATCTTCATTGCTACTTCATAACTGTAAGTCTGCTACTGTTAGGAATCATAATGTAAGCTTTTTTTTTTGGAGATAGGGGTATGCCAAAAGGGTCTCACCCACAGACTGAAAACAACTTTTCTATAGTGAGGTTTAGAGGGTGGTATGCACAGTTGAGAAAAACTGAGGCCTCAACAGGAGCTAGCTAATTGACTTAGTGTGGCAGGTGGATTTTATTTAAATAAGATGGTGAGATAATTAAACTGACCAGCTGGGTAAGAGGCCTTGTTAAGTGAGCACTGATAAGGACTGCTCTGATCTGTGTAGTCAGTCATTCATTGATTAAAAAAGCAAATAGGAAGACCAGTTTTAAGGGTGATGCTGTAATCATTGTGCTGACCAAGAATTTCAGAACAAACAGGGATGGCATTGCTATAATTTCATAATAAAACATTTAAGACTTGCTGATAAATTTCCTTTTGGAATAAGAGTGAACCGCTGCATCTGATTTTCAGACTCTTGAATTAGATACAGGTTACTAAGTTCTGTGCATATGAGAAAAAAAGATCTTGAGGGGATTTTTTTTTCTAAATTAGATGTTAGGAGTGGTGTCTTGAGAAGTCTAATGACAAACTTTTGAGACAAGTTTGGGCTGACTGTACATATTTCCATCTTCAGACACACATTATTTGGAGAAGTCAAGAATAGATGAGGTTATTCAGAAAAGGGAAGTAAGATGACAGGATGCAAAATAGTTCCAAACCATTAGTACTCTAATTGGAGAGATAATGTATAAGAGAAGTAAGCCAAGGTCATGGATAATACTAGACACTGATGGAGAGGAAATAGCAGAAAAGTATGGTCTCAAGGAAGCGAGCGAGCTTGTGTGTGTGTGCGCATGTGTGTGCGCACACATGCACAAGTGTAAACACACACACACCACGGCTTTAATAGAAAAGCAGCGCAATGACTTATGGGAGAGTTCCAGTGAACTGCTGAGAAAAACCCAGATGGAATGCTGACTGTAAGCTAACAAGGAGGAGCACGTGTTCAAATTGTTAAGTTCTGAGAGAGGAGAAGAAGGATATGGACGTAAAGGTGTGTTTTATCTGCTTAATATTTTCCTTGTATGCTTGTACTTACTGTTTATATTTTAATTAACCAGAATAGCAGGTGTGTATTCTAGTGTGTGTGTGCATGTGTGACAGAGAGTGAGAGAAAGAGAGAGAGAGAGAACTTGCAATAACAAGAACAGCTAAGTGTTGCTTCAGCAATGACACAAGTCTTGCACACATCTGTGGAGTTAGTGGCTCTGGGGAGAATGAAAAACATTTGAATAGTTTTCTTGAAAGAAGGAAGATTGTGAAATGGGATCCTTCCTAAAGGTCAGTCGAGGTGATCAGATATGATCCAGTGGATGCTGGGAAATGTGAGATTTGATCAAATACCCAAAGTGATCACCTATGGAAGGAGATAAGGTTCTCTCTAAACTGATTTAGTAGGGGAAAAAACCAGTTAGTCAGATTTTCATGACTGCAGCTAATAACTGGGGTAATTAACTTACCATGGAAAAAGGGTTATTTTGGGCTTACAGCTATGATGATTCTTCCAGCACATGAACAGATGCTTATGGGCCTGTGCTTAGGTAGCACACCATAACAGGAGTGCTTTAGTGAAGCCAAATCCCAAATCATCAGGAGTCTGGGGAAAAAGAGAGCAAAGAGGGGGCAAGTCACACAATCTCCTCAGCTGCATGTCCACAGTCAGACAAAGAACCCCACGGAACCCCAACACTTAAAGATTCTAATGCCTCCTGTGGTTATCCCCTGTGTCCGAATACCTTCACAGGGTCATCTGGGGAACAGTCAACATCCAAATGATGACATTTAGGTTCCTCAGACGAAGTGTCAGGAAGAGTCAGTGAGGAGGCCCATTAGACAGGGACTCAATGGTGTATTAACAGTCCACTCTAGGAAAAGGCATTGGCAGCATGAACTGGTTACAGTAGAGATTATTAAAGCACTTCATACATTCAATTTGAAAAAAAATTCAGAACAAATGAAAATAGATGAGCGTACTGACATTAGTTTTATGAACGTATCTTTGATGCACACACACAGTTTCTCCTCTATATTGGGGTTTTCTGTTGGGAAACGCAGGCCCTCCAGAGACACAAGGAGCTCCTTTCACCTAAATATCCAATAAAGATTAATTGTGTTAATGAATATATATAACAAATATGTTTGACATGCTTTAACAGATAAGCTGGTTTCTTCCTCCCTTCCCCCCCTTCCTCCACTTCTCTTTCACCTGACTCCAAATCAAATGATATCTTAGGAATATAATCTTATGGACATGAGGAATATAGAATATTCATTTCAGTTCTCTTAAAATCAGATCCAGTTTGGTAATATACTGGTCATATAGAACTGTATCTGGCAAATATTAGCAACTATGCAGTTTGGAATTTTTACCAGCTAAAGTAAGTGAACCGGACTCCATAATGCTTTGGTTGTATCTTGGGGTCAGGAAGCTAATAGCAGACAGGAGTAGAGAGTCCAATGTTTGAAGTTTGCTGGTTCAGTTAAATGGATAGTTTCCTCTAGTGAAACTTTAAACATGAATTCTGCTTATTGGCACAGAATGTAGAATGTAAATATTTAATTCTAAACTTGACCTTCACAGGTCAGATTTTAAGCTGGAAATAAAATGTGGGCTAGGATTATTCTTAAGCTGAAATCTGAACTTTAAATTATGAATACTGGTTGCAAATTTCATTAGCATAATGGTTTTCATCTATTTAATGAGGACTTTGATGCCTCTACTTACTTTATCCACAGAAATGTAGACATGTCTGTGTTAAAGGGCAACTGAGATTTTAACACTGTATTCATTTGTCTAAATCTAGTGTGTTAGGACTAGGAAGGTTACAGCAAATATTTATTACTACACAGAATCTGGTTTTAAATTTTCATCTTCTGTTAGCAAGTACTGCTTTATTCCTTAATATTTTTGTACAAATAATAGTATTTGCGATGACACACCTGCCGACAGTCTTGTGAAATTCAGACTGCACAAAGCAGGCAATCAAGAAATGTATTGTGGGAAGACATTGCCTAAAACAGCTGTGACACTGAGTAATGGTCCTGGCTTAGTGGTGTTCCTAAAGTAAGCAGTTAGGGATCTAGGGAATTCTGGCGTGATAAGGAAGTGTGTGTGGCTTCCCAAAGTAAGTGCTTTTCCCAGAGCTCACTAAGTGGACTGACCTCAGGCAAACTTAATGATGAATTAGAGGTAATGGCAATAGTTCCTTCCCCAGCTTCCTTAAGGAGGAGTGGATAGGGAGGGGTAGAGGAGAAAAGGGAGGGCATGGGAGGAGAGGAAGGAGGGGAAATGGGTTGGTATGTAAAATAAACGAAAGAAATGTTATTTAAATAAAAGTATATAGCGTCAGCATATTCGAAGCACCAACTGCTGCCTCTCTCTCCCTCTCCCTCTCTCTCACACACACCACACACACACACACACACACACACACACACACACACTTTCTAGAAGCAAAATACAACTGTGGACTAAACTGGTGCCATCATAAATGACAATGAGTTAGTGGATTTTATGTGTTAATTCATTCATTAATTCATTCATTCGTGTGTGTGTGTGTGTGTGAGAGAGAGAGAGAGACAGAGAGAGAGAGAGAGAGAGAGAGGGAGGTTGAGCAAGCTGGGGAAGGAACTATTGCCACTACCTCTAATTCATCATTAAGTTTGTCTGAAGTCAGCCCACTTAGTGAGCAGAGGCTAGCTGTGTTGGAGAAGCATGTTGGAACTCTGAGCTATAGTTACAGGCAACTGTTTGCCACCCTATGTAGCAGTGCCGGGAATTAAACTTAAGTCCTCTAGGAGTACAGAAATCTCTTGCCACCACTGAGATCCCTTCAGCCCTAGTAAAGAGATTTTTTTTAAAAAGACAATTAAAATTTAATAACTTGCCTCTCTGAAATAAGTTCTCACATAGGTCTTAGTCATAGAAAGTAATTCAACGGCTCAGGAGTTGGTTGAGAGTGCATAATGGAAGTTTTATGTTTTTAGATGCAGTACTTCTGGTTAAATAATTCAACTTTGTTTGCCTCAACATTGTTTCATAGCAACAAATTCCTCTCTCTGACACTTTAGTAACTAATCTGGAATTCTTTAGACACAAGCACATAAACTACAGAGAATTTGTCTGGAATTAGTTGCCTTATACAAAACAGGTATGTCTTAAGCTTTGCAAGTTCCTGGAAAAGAAGAAATTTGGGAAGCTGCTATTTAGGATTCTTAGCACTCAAAATAAACGCATGTAACTTCTAGTTTACAAACTGCACTAAAGGAGAGACTTTGTTCCCGGATAACATGCCTAGGACATTCCTTGGCACACTGTAGTCATCCAGTAGAAAATGGTTACTTCATAATCTTTTCTCTTTGGCCATTTACTTAAAATACTTTAGTAAAGGAAGAGTCTCCCCAGATAGCATGTCTCAGTCCTCTGTTCTTTTTTGTTTGTTTGTTTGTTTGTTTCTGGTTTTTCGCGACAGGGTTTCTCTGTGGCTTGGTTTTCCTGGAACTAGCTCTTGCAGACCAGGCTGACCTCAAACTCACTGAGATCTGCCTACCTCTGCCTCCCGAGTGCTGGGATTAAAGGCGTGCACCACCAATGCCTGGCCAGTCCTCTGTTCTTTACAAAGGTAATGACTGAATGCTAGACGCTTCTCAAGGTACATCTCATTATATAGTTTTTGTTTGCGGGCAGACATAATTATGTTTCTTGTTATCTACACCTTAAAATATGTTATTACTTCTAAATGCTAGCTGAAGAGGCATTGAATATATGTATTAGATAGATAGATATAGATATATTAAAGAATTAAGTAACAGATGATAGTTCTGCTTCAGGATCTTCAGGCATATACAGGATGCTTTAGAATAGAAAGCACGTTCCACTCTTAGTTTCACACAAATAAGTAAAGGTGAACTTCTAGAGTAGCCACAGTTGGGCTGGAAAGAAAAGTGTGGGTAGCTTAGAAGCTTCTTATCATTGCCCTTCACTTTAATTCTGGACACTTCTTATGTGGATTTTGCCTGCTTTTGAAGACAGTCTTTCTTTTCATGTAAAATGTATTCTGTTTCCGTGTAAGCCTTGGTGTGTGCTATGGTTGTTTTGAGAAACAGACATGCAAATCTTTGAATCCTCTGGGTTGTATGATGCATAAGCATGGCTCAGCTGTCTTCAAATGGGGCAGGTGGTGGAATTAAGGATGCTGGTAAGATTGGGTGTCATCCTCACACCTTGCATAAAGTGTGGGCATCAAGAGACAGCTTTGAAAACCACCAAGGATACAGAGCTCTGGGCCAGCTTCTCATTCTCAAGACTTTTTAAGCTGTCTCTTAAATCTCTTGAGCAGCTGCAATATGTTCCTCTTGCCTGTGTCCTCGAAAATAATCATCTCCTTTTCTTCTCCCCATTTTTCATCCTCATAGGATTAAATGGGCTCTGATTGGCAACAAAGAAGCCTGTTGATAGGGTTCAAGGAATTTTGTCATTTTGAGCACATTTCACTGTTTGGGGAAAAGCTGAAAATGCTTTGCCCAGGGAAAAATAGGTGTTCCTAGCTCTCCTACATACAAGATCATAATCGAAAAGAATAAAAAAAAACTAAGCAAATGAATGTTGCTTTATGTATGGAAACACCAGTGAAAGAAAATCAGTCATGTATAAGGGCATATCAGATTGCATCCATATGAAATAGATAGGCATAATAAATTCAGTTCAAGCTCAACCATAAAAGGAAACAAAAATACATTGTTAATATGGAACGGAACTTTAAAGAAACTAGGAAACCATAAGTAATGTCTGGCTTCTTACATACCTTATTTCATAGGATCACTTTAAACATTTACAGCCATCCTCATATTTCAGTTGAGGAAATGGTCAATGTGGCAGCCGAGACTCAAAAAACAAGTTTATCTATCTGTGCTGAATGCATGTTCTTGTTATTGTTTTGTGCTGTGTACATAGGCTTCCTCAAATTAAAAACCCAGACCCTAGACAGACACTGT